ATAAGGCAACGTTCTGTGGAACTGTGAGTGACTGGAGACACTATATACTTTGTGGTTGTTTGTTGCTGTGACTCTGGCGGCACTGTGGAGTCTGTAGCTGGCTGTGAGAAAAACACAATTCTCGTGTTTTCTGTGAAGAAAATACTAGTTTACTGATGTAGCTCACTAGGATAACCCAAACACTGGCAAACCGGTGAACGCCAAGCCGGAGCGCGCCGTAGCCGAACTGCGGTTATACTAATTGAAACCGTGCAGAAACGGCGGTGGCGGGAGGCGGGCAGGTGCGTGATGCATCAGTCCTAAAACTGACTAAGCTTGCAGGTGCATGATCGGGAGGTGGGCAGTGATGCCCAGTGAAAGTCGGACATGGCCATTTCCACGCGCAGCCACGCAAATCTACTGTGGCTATGGCACGTCGAATCGCGTAGTCATGCGTCAGTATCTGCGCTTTCCGTAGCTGCAAAAACGACGCGCATCGGCGCTGGTGTATGCTTTTCGACGCATTGACTACTAAATAGAATTCCGTAGATTTAAATATAACTGCATGTCCCTTTGATATCTTGCTGGCTTCGACGCAAATATACGGAAATCGATGCATTGCAATGTAGCATATGATACGAATCATGCCACTAAAAACCACCTGCGCTCGTACCCGGGCCCGCCCCCGCGCTCACGCTCATACCCGCCCCCGCGCTCGCGCTCGTACCTGGCCCTTCTGCCTGATGCTGCCGCCGTGCTAGAACAATGTACTGCTGGAGAACTTACTGATCACTTTGACAGTGCTGCCGGTCCAAATGCCATCAGATATCTGGAAAGGAGACACATCAGTACACTGGGAAAACATGGTAGCGCTCACCAGTTTTTTTGCGTCTGTTTCATATTTCTGAAGGAGAACACTACGAGTTAGTAATGCAAATGGCAGAACGAAGATAAACACACCTCCTGACGGTCTTTTCCCAGCGAGTCCCAGTATAATTTGAAATCCCGAGAGTAGCCATTGGGTGCGAGTTGTTTGAGCCAGCGATGTGCGCAAAGGTTTCTGTAGTGGGGCTACGTTAGCAACATAAAATGAGAATATTAGTATTAGCGAGACTCACCTCCCGTTCTTCGTAGTCGCAGGGCGGAAGTTTTTGCTGGTAGGGCCAGGCTTTCCTTGCGAGTCTGCATTAAGAGTATCTGCATGAGGTGCGATTGCGTCGTCTGCAGACAGCGTTGGTAGCGTAGTGTCGATGGGTGCTGCGGTTGGTAACATATTGGCGGGAGCAATCGAGGGCGTTGGCAAAGCATCACAAGGCTCGTCATTTTTCTTTTCCTTGAGGCGGATAATGGCATCTTTTCTGAAAGCCAAAGTTCGTCAATGTAGTAGGTATATCGAGCAGAAAATCACTTACAAAGGGTTTCGAAGTGGAGCAAATAGGGTTTTCGGCTGTCGCGAATAAAGTAGTTCAGATCGCATGAATGCAGATAACTACTGAACTTACTGGATTGTTTGTCTGAGGCCTTGGGCTCGGCGACAATGGCACCACAAGAGATGATGAAGGTGGATCAGCAGACTCGGTATTTGAAGAAGAAATCTCGGGTGGCTCTGAGTCGCGAGCCTCTAAATTCGTGTCAGCTGTTTTCGCACGTTTCGAATCGTGTTGACATGTATCGGCAGACTCGACCATCTTCGCCTTTCGCTTTTGTGGTTTTACGCGTGGTTTCATCTCCTCAGGGTCAGTAGACGAAGAATCTCCTTCCTTGAGATGAGTGGATGCCCATGATGGGTAGCGGTCTCTAGCGATGTGCTCAATCTTCCAGTACCTGTCGCAAAGGGCTAATTCGGGGTGTAAGCGAGACACTTCTTTGTAGAGAGCGTTGCGAGCATCGGGGATTGCTCGACCCCATGAGATCGGCGCTATTCCACGTTGTCGGAGGCCAAACCAGACCGCGCGAAATGTCTTCATGATGGCACGTTGCTCAGATGCTGTGACAGGGTCCCCATTTGTATGCTCGAGGAAGGGTAATGATCCCCGCTGGTCGCCTTGTGCATCAGCAGCGCTGTCCCATTTCTTGAAGTCTTCGTGAGTCCAAAAATTGACGAGAGGGTAGTCCTCCTTTCGTAGACCAGTGACAGGGTTGCAATCAATAGCATCAGTCTTGATGGGGATTTTGAGTGGTTGAAGTAGTGTATCAGAGCCTGAATACAAAGAAATGTCGTCTGATAGTGAAAGTGAGTGCGATAAAGTTTCAAATGCAGCTCTAAGCTTGGGGTTTGTTAAGCTGCTGAAGATAACGGGAGAAAACAAACTGATAAGCATCTCGGGATGCAGTAAGGGTCAAAATTTGACGATTCAAATGTTCATTGACAAATCGCAGACGAATATTTTCATCTTGGACTTGTGCGAATGTATGCTGTGAGTGATTATATGCGCTGTTTTGAACATAATACAACATATTCAATCTCACTGTATTGTTTGGAAAGCTTCCACCGTGATGCAAAAGGCCATTCCAGCCTTGATTCAGCTGACCCTGCGAAGGTACGAGAAAGGGTGATTGTGCACTAGCATGGCCCGGGAGCTGGTGGTTATTGTCGTATAGTTGATTCATGCGGCTGAAATCTTGAGCCTGAGGCTGGTAGTGTTCATCAGACATGACAGACATAGCAAAATAATTGAGAACCGAATGAGCGAAAATTGTGTGGAGGTATTAAGCAAAGGGGCATCAGTATCGTCCAAGGGTGGTTAGAATTCTGCCTCCACTGGAATATCCCGTTATGGGTCCTCGAGTCGGTGGCTTTCATTTACAGTACCAAGTCCTTCGTGTAGCATTTTTATCAAATACCCCAATGCCTATTGAAAATTTCGGAACAGGTACTTCTATTCTTCTCGCTCATTATCGTTATCGTCCTCTTCAGCAAATACTCCAGTATATGATACATCGAGCCCGGTCTTTTCAACAACAAAGACTCGGTCCTCGGTAACTCCAGATGGTAAAGTAGGCCGATGAGGTATAACTGCGACGACGGCCTGGATATCGGTGACATCTACAACACGAAGGCCAACTTCACCTTGATTCGTGCAAGACCAAACTGTCTGGTGCGACAATTCAAGAAGCTGTTTGTCAGGTGCGGAATATAATGAAACAAGTGCGACAGTCCTGAATCGCCATGCTGCCTGTGGACCCTGTAATTGGCGGACAAAATCTTCAGGGTCCTCGTCATCACCAGGTTCAACATCATTTCGAATGGCGAGCTGCGTGAAATATTGGACCTCCCCATAGCAAGTTGTTCCATCAATCTTGAGCTGAGAATATCAATTAATTTGAGAACATGCAATAAATATATGAAGTACCTTGACGTTTCGCGACATTCGCGTTTTTTCTAGAGGTCGCAGTGCTTCCTTCCATGCTGAACGGGCCACTTGTCCATTTGGGAGCCGAAGGTGCGACCACCGATACATTTTAGGTGCATTGCGGCCCAGAAATTCAGATATGAGTCTTTTCTCCATGTCTGTGTCTGGATACCTTGCCCGCTTCTGTCGTGCTCGCAGTAAAATGTAGCCATCTCCAACATCAAACGAATACCGTGGATGGAGATTAGAAGGTGGTTGGAGATGGGGGAACATCGCTTTCATGGCATTTATTTGACACCGGATGAGGCAAACTTGAGTTAGACACGCATAGGGAAGTTTGGGTTGGCGAAGATCAAATTCGATATCTGCAAACGTCCTCTCCATTGTCCATTGCGAAGAGCAAATAGGCGATCCGACACGAAGGCATTCAGATGCGAGATGATTTGATAGGTGAGCACAAGGCCGGATGAAGTGAATACGGTCAGCTCTACGTTGATAGTACAAGTTTTCGAACTCGAGTTCCCATTCCGCAAACAGCGTGAAAGCTTCGGTGACTTGGGCAGGGGTGATGCTGTATTGACTCATAATTCACAGTGCTTGTGTGAACTTGCAGAAATTCTGCCAGTATTTTTGAGGGAGAACACCGTGCAGCAGTGCCGGTGCGAGCCCAAAAAGCCACGTAATGAATTCACGGGCTTTGTAGTGAGTGTTGATCTTCTCTGCGGGGTTGCGAGGAGGGTTGTCGAACGAGCCTGGTAAGTATGGCTGACAAGCAGCGACGGCTCGACCATGTGCGTCCCAGGTATCATCGACAAGGACAGCCCAGTCCCAGGTCGAATCATCGTCTGTTGGGCTGCAAAGTATCAAGCCGCGCCATAGGTCTGTAAACAATGCTGCCATATTGGCACCAGAGAAGTGCATTATCTCCGTAGAGAAACACTCGGGGATACCGAGAATGTGTCTCGTCTCTAAACCAAGGAGGATACTCGGTCCTACAATACCCGTATTCAGCCTATTGGCCTCATACTGCGACTGCCTGCTGGATCCCATCAAAATACGAAGCCTCTGAATGTAGTTCTCGGAGGTTCCTTGAGAAGTATCGGCTGGGTGTAGGTCACCATGGTTGCATCCGCGAACATCATAATTACGAGGCTGCAAGAGGACAGGATAATAATGATTGCCGCGAGGTTTACGACGCCCCTCAAGGCCACAAAGCATGCGACAGCCATTTTTGCCATTGTGGCCAACGAGATTGCTTATGCAGACCAGGCCTGGTCCATCTGCACAGGCGAGGATGAGAAACGGGTTCGAGATGAAGATGATATCACGCCACGCATCCCAAATAACGAGCCCTGCTTTCTGAATTGAAGCGAGGTGATGAAACCCGGGAAAGAAAAATGATTGCATATATTTGGGTTTGTTCGGACCAGGAACTACAGTGCCAGGAAGAACGTGCTGCTTCTTGTAGCGACGATCGGGAGGTATGTCAACAATGATCCAGATGTAGACCCAACAGTCTGACTGTTTGGTCTCGTACAATTGAGCTCCATCAACCGATATAACAAGAAACATGTCCTCCGGTTTGATGCGGCCATGACGAACAGCATCAAGGTATGACGACCCAGTGATGATGTCGTCGTAGGCTATGGGAAGACCATCATTACGTTCCAACTGCTCAATTATCTCCTGCGTGCGGCGACGGCGGTAGTGCATCTGACGAGCACTATCAGGATGCTGCCAGAGAGCCTGAAGCTGTGGGCCAATAGGGAAGGTATGGAATACCTGCTGAGGCTGCTTGACTCGGCCTCCACTCAGCCGAAGCTTAATGGGGTCATATCGTGGCTTCTGACACATCGGACATTCGTCAAGCTCAGTGTACGGACCGACAAAGGCCACGCAGGAGTCGATGCACATATCCTTGATAATAGATGTCACTCCCGAGAGGTCGCTGATGATTTTTTTCACCCGGTGTAGACTTGGTATATCATCCTCGGGATGTCGCGCGAGAGTAGCAGCGCGAGTCTTATGAAAAGCATCTTCTGATGAGTGCTCGAGGGCGAGAAAAAGGGAGACACCATACTCGATGTCAGCACTACCAAACTCTGGTTGACGTCTTGGTGGGTTTCACAAACGTTCGAGTGCATCCCCTGTGAGTCCAATCCCATCATCTAGCGATGCCTCCCGAAGAGCAAGAATAAACTTCATATCACGTTGTAGATCTGGGAGACGAGCATTGCGAGCAAGTTCCTCAAAATCAAGGTCGGAGAAAGGATCTCGCCATTCTTCAAATTGCTGGGGGGGGTGATTTGGATTATCGGGAGGAGGGGGATTGTCATCGCCAGGAGGAGGGGGATTGTCATCGCGAGGAGGAGGGGGATTGTCATCGCCAGGAGGAGGGGGATTGTCATCGCGAGGAGGAGGGGGATTGTCATTGCCGGGAGGAGGGGGATTGTCATCGCCAGGAGGAGGGGGATTGTCATCGCCAGGAGGAGGGGCATCACGAAGGGGAGTGGCATCGCGAGGAGGAGGGGCATCACGAAGGGGAGTGGCATCGCGAGGAGGAGGGGCATCACGAAGGGGAGTGGCATCGCGAGGAGTACTAGTAGCGCCTCGAGGATCTTCATTCTGCAAAATACTATTAGAATCATTGTCCTATTGAATTTTAAACAATAAAGGACATACCATGCGTCTTCGTTTAGTGGATATATTTGAACCACCAACTTGCAAATCGGTTGGCCGTTTCAGACTGCGAAATTCATCTGATAGTCCTGCACACCATATGGCTGCCTTCTCGTCTTCACCGGCCTCCTTCAAATGATTTTGCCAAGTTCGCAGTGACCTGAGCGGTGTTCGGATTCCGAGGCAGTATTTCGTGCAAACGCACCAATGCACATCTGACATTGGCAAGATGATATGGGATATGCTAGACAAAATATAACTTAGTACTAGCACGCGCGAAAAGTACCCAAAGGCTTACCAGTATTTTGGTTGCTTCTTGTAACAAAAGTGCAGTGTGCCAGCTCCGCCTTGTTATGCTTTTCGCCCCCCGGCACACCAAAGGGAGTTACATGGCAAGGTGGGCAGAGCTCTGAGGACACAAAGTTGTGATGCGCAGCCAGCACCGTGAGGTGAGTTGATCAGTTCTACAGTGAGACTGAGGTGCACTGATGCGACGTTGTTGAACAGATGTTGAACGTTATAATGTTACGCTGCTGCGTCGCTGGCAGGCTGCACACTGCGCAGTGCATACGCATTCGATCAACACAACTGATCACATGATCAAGCTAAGTCTAATTCCGTCGAAGTAACGATAATTTACATTTATAAAATCTAATTCCATAGTTCTACGTGGAAATGGCCATGTCCGACTTTCACTGGGAGTGATGCATCGAATGAATGCATCATGCCAGTGGGTGCAATATAGGGTGATGCATGCACAGTTATGGGTGATGCATCAGTAATCGTGCATGCATCGCCCTATATTGCTGTGATGCATCAGTATTTGCGGCGCTACAGTTGCAGCACAAATGCATCACCACTACCGTTGCAATCACAGCAATTTATTGCATCACTACGACAAGGACGCCTGCAAGTGCGATTGGCACCGAGAGGGAACACTGCCATAGGTGGTGACAACGGTGGTACTAGTATGCATCTGGCGGCTGTACACAACGTTCCGGCTATGACATCAAATATATTGCCACTCTGACAAGAGGCAGGAGTCAATCATGTTGTATCGTCCAGCGCAAGGTCATATTGCTCGAACATTATTTGGGTTGAATTAGAGTGTCGTAGGCAGTATACCATGTTTGGTACTACACACCATACTAGTATACTTAAATTACTCAACAGCAGCTGCCAATTTCCTGCTTCTTCGCCTAGCTACATCCACGCCCGGTAGTGAACGCCACAGTATGAACACTTCCAACTCGATGACATATAGTATATGGCTCGTTATGAGTGCTGGATTATATGAATTATGCAGAAAGCGGTATATCTATATGATGACCCGTACATCATGAAGCCAGAATCATTTAATGTACTCTTTGTTAACGTTCACGCAAATTTTCGGCGGAAGTTGCCTACCGCTAATTAGCATCAGCTGTTATCCAACGTTGCTGCCGCTGTGTGCTATTAATTAACGTTAGAAAATGCCCCAGCGTTACTCATCAGTGAGAAGTTTAAGGCCCGGAACACCCCGCGAGTTCCCGAATCTCCCATTGATGACCGCCATTGGGAATGTATGAGACGCTGCTGTGACACAGGCCATCCCAAATATCGACACCTCTTTTGCGCCGTGCGCAGTCAAAATGTTTACGAGTTGCCATTCGAAAATGCATGTCTGCACGGAAGATAAAACAGGGGCGAGCGACAAAGCATCGTAAGCTGGAAAATGGGCTCAGAAAATAAGGGGCAACTGCTCGCGTAGCATGTCTCATTGGGTAAAAAATATTATAGCTTACGAGTTTTGCAAATGGTATAAGTTGTTAGATGAGACCTTGTGAGCCAGGCGTTGGACGTGGTTTCCGCCTGCCAAGTTGGCTCAGTGACTAAACTTATGGGAGAAGCGCTCCGGTTACTGTGACGTCATGGCTGATTGTTGGTGAAGCTTGTGGCATAGTAAGAAGCCTGAAACAACTGAAATGGAAAACATGATTGGTTCCTTGGCTGGCAGGGGCTATACTATCTGGTCCTGTGCAACTAGATGTTTATTTTGCACTGCAAAGAGTGTGACTCAGAGGCGGGTCGGAATACCAAGTGCCAATAATTGATCACCGGAATGCCACGGGGCACTCGATGTTTAGTTCCGTTCTGAGAAAAGTTGGGCTCACTTACTGGTGCGATGCCCTTCTGCATGTATATTTTGGGTTACGTTGGCCTGCTGTGGGCTCACACCGAGATTCTAGATAGAACCTCTGATTATTCGGATTTACCTACGTTTAGGCAAAGCCAGGGGAGCCCGAACCTGTGACTGCCTTTGTGAGTTGTATATATAATGTACAACGAAGCTCCGGTCAATCAAACTCCCACACTTTCGAAGTGAAGCGAAGCACTTCCACTTCGACGGCCACACTACAAAGGCTAGAAAGTATTCATAAGGATTCGAACGACTTCTCATTACAACCGGTTCAGCGATCAAAATCTGCACGTGTTTGCCAAAGTAAGGTTACTTTGCGTTCGTAGGCTCGAGATAAACGCACGAGCTTACCGTGAATTTGCATTTACGGTCCAGATTGACACCAATAACCCCTCCGTCGATGTCGTCTTCGCAGTTAGGACATACCCCTGATCAAGATTCAACAAGATCAACGCTGCAATCATGCCTCGAGTGTCTTGATCGACACAATGACAGGTTAAACATTGTTTACAAGGAAATCATAGAGATTCGCACCCTCATTACAGAGCTTCTTGCCGGCGTCCAGTCAGAAGTCACCGTGACGG